AAAAATCGCCCTCCCACTCGCCCCCAGGCTATACTGACCGGATACTTAGCTTGGTAAATGGACCCCTCCATGTTCATTAGTAATGCAGCCTAACCAAGCCTGTGAAACTCTTCAGATATTAGAATACTACACGGAAAAGCCAGAAAATTAAATCTCTCATTTTCGCGCGTTAAACAGGACAGTTCAAAATAAGAAATTATTAATCAATCAATTTAGCAATATTTTGTTTAAGTTGCATTTTCGCAAATGGTGCACTCGTGCTGCAGATCTTATATACACCCCTTCTAAAAATTGGGAATATAGTGGATGGAAAAAAAAAACATAGAATATTGTCGAGAACCAAAAAAATAATCCAACTCACACCCTTCATCAACTCTGGGATTGGGCACTGAGCCACAGCAGAAAGAAGAAAGGTCTGATATTACTACACTAAGTGTGTAAAAGTGTAGTTTGATCGACTGGGTGAGGGTAGTCCTCAGAAGGACTGTTGTCGATGGTGATGACTGACGTTCCGACAACCTGCGCGGAAGTCATCATCAGAGTCAAGTGAATGATTGTTGTCAGTAGAATATTCTTAGTCCAGTTCGTGTAAAATGATTGGTCAGTTTCGATCCGTTGGTAAAGTTAGGTCGTTCTGTTCGGTTCGTTTGTAATGTTAATGTCGGGAATGAGTCGTTTGTATGGAGCCCGTGGTATTTGACACCTGTTGATGGGTGTAGAGGGGACTACACTAATAATTCGATCATTATACTTAATTTCCAGTTTAAAGAAAAAATAACCTTATCAGCAGTAACTGGAAGAAATGAAAGTGAATTGAAATCTGTTACCGATTGACGATTTCTGCGTAACCAGTGCAGCAGGTCACCGTAAGGAACATACTCTATGACCAGAAACTTGGTGTCCTGCAGAGTGCAACATCCAACTAAAGATATGATGTTCGGGTGGGAACCCAGCAGCTTCATTTGTGATATCTCTTGCAAAAATGCTTGTTTCTGCTCTTCGCTAGGATCATCTGTAACAGAGAGGTCGTTTGAAATTGGAGAGTAATGCAAGATTCACCTCTGGGTGTGACGAATTTTTCAATTTAAATGTTTTAACATGTGTCCTCCACAGCTTTTGGAAAGTAACGACATACGTTGAGCCTTAGATAGTCGTTCTTTTTTGCCATGGCTTCTTGATACTTTCAAACCAACGCAATACTGAATAAAGACTATTGACGGTTTCTTTTTCTCGATCCTAGAAGTGCGAGGGACGTTCGCGATCAGGAATCTTTTAATTGGCTTTATAATTCTCTAACGAATGTTATTAAGCCCAGTTCGCAAAGAATTCGATCAAGACATGTCAGTGTTCGTGCTCCATTTCTTGAGGTAAGAAAAGAGACTTTCTGAAACCACAAGCTTACTGCTACTAGCCCATATTTCATATTATTCTATTGTGGTATTTTTTGGTAAAGATTCGTAATAGCAATAGTTGTACCAGAGTCTCCCTGTTAGTTAGATTAGAAAAAACTTTTTAATGATAATAATAATAATAATAATAATAATTAACGAAGACTTGGTCTTGTTCTTCCGCGGTCTTTAATTAAACGATAACCCGTTTGATATCCATCAATGTTCAAATAAAGATCAATTTAGCTCCTCACGAAGTGGAGATAGTCAGAAAAATCCCTTTTTTTTTGCTCAAGATGCATCGTGTTTCGATTTAAAAGACAGATTCAGTACATAACGAACCTGGTAAAACCTTTACAGCGATCTCCCGTGAAGCCTCTGTTGGCGTAAATTTCTTGTCAGTAAGAAACAAATCTATTCCAGCCCTTTTCCGTAGAGTTCCTCTATAGACAACACCAAACGCTCCTCTTCCTAACTCCTCATTGTATTCTATTTGTCTAGGAAGAATCTCCCACTGGTCTAGCATGACGATTTTGCGAGGAGGAAGAGCAGACCTGTCAAATTGAGAAGATAAGGGTCAAAGAGTAACGACTGGCAATAATACTGAAGGGTCAAAAATGTTAGTAGCTGTAGCGTGGCATTACTGATGTTGTTAACTCAATTTCGTGCAGTAACAAAAACTTCCGAACACAGGTTAGATTTTCGGGATCTTGTTTTTCGAAGCAGGACTTCCAAATCTAAAATCGCGGCCGAGTTCGAATCCTCTGCGGTTCTACCTTTCTTTAAAAGTTTTGTGCGTACAACTCTGCCTAGAAAAAAAACTTTTAACTTGATTTGACAAATGGAAGACCTATGCAGAACAGAACCAAAAAGTAAGAAGTCGGACTCGGTAGGACTCAAAGGGTTCCGCTATTTCAAACCTCGCCTAGAACACCAGGCACCGCTCGCTCTAAAACGAAATCTTATACATCTTGATCCCCCTTGGTGCAAAAAAAAAAAAAAAAAAAAAAAAAAAAAAATGGAAAGAGACTACAGTTCAAATGGGATCTCAACATAACGACACAACCGTAGAAATTGAAATGGGATTTCGCTCGGTGTGGATGTCAACGATTGGCAAACGTAACAACAGGGTAGCTGTATGAAGAAGCACTATTTAAGGAACGCATCATCAAGATACATAACTAACAGCTGGTGGAAAAGAAATAACAACAGCGGAGTAAAGTGCTTTAAACGTTGCATACGCATGACCAGAAGGCTCATCACTTAAAGAAGACGAAACACCGCCAACCACTTGGGAAGGGAGACAAACGATGAACACAATGTACTTTGCTACTTTTGTACATCACTGCCATATAAATTCTCAGCCATGTCCCATTTTCCTCTGAAGTTAATATTGGATTTTTATGGGCAAGGAAAGTAAGTTACCTTCTTTTCATATCTCGTCGTTTGATTTTGTAACACCAGCAGCTGAGAGCAAAACACAGCAAAAGAAACAAACCAGAGGCGACACCAACAACGATGTATGTGATGGAACCCGAGGAGGTCACGTTCATTTGCATCGGATTAACTTTTATTTCTAACGTTGCTTTAGACTGATCCATGATGGTTGTCTGTGTTGATTCTGTCTCTTGAACTATTGTTTTTATCTCTGGAACCTTAAGAGAAGTCCCTAAGAAAATTTTGAAACATTGATCACTCTTTCAACATAGTCTATCACTTTTTTGCTGCTTTCAAGAAAATGAGAATTAAACTAAAGGAAGGAGGAAGCCTTTTCATACATGAACCAGCGAGGGTAAATTTTACTCCAAAAACTGACGTTCCAAAAATAGGAGACTTATGCAGTCTCTTTGTATGATTGTTTATTGCTTCTTTTGTTTGTTTGTTTCCATTTTCTGATCTCTAGACTAAAACAGTATTTTAAAGTCGTGCTATTTTAAGTTACTCAAGACTCATTTTCAAAAAGTTAAGAGGCTTACTGACTTAAAATTTCATTCATATTCACATCTTCTTGAGCGTTGATTACTTACGTAAAGGTGGTATAATTGAGAAATGAATTGAAAATCCTCGTCTTTGAATATCATTGTCTGAGTGGAATATCATCAGAGCATAGCTTCCATTTACAAGAACCTTTTCTCCAGTTATTTTCCCGCAGTACACTCCGAAAACCTGATCCGCCTCATTGGTAATCTTTAAAAAGTCGCGGCTAAAACAAAATGTAAACACATGGTTTTCTTCAGATCATAAACACTACAAGCTGTAGTTTTGATTTAATGATGAGCCAAATAACAGTTATTGCGCGCTTGGCAAAAGCGAACCGATTTAATTTAAAACGACTTCTGTAATTTAATTTCCGGACTTGAAATGAGGTTTTATGAATTTCGAGGGTGCTAAGTCCTCTCATTATCATCCTAAATGATTTTATAACATAACCAAAGTAAACCGCGCGCTCTGATTGGTCAATTTAGCGTCCCCCATTTGCCCATGGGTGTACGCTGCTGACGTGAGCAAATACAAAGACTATTTTTCCGCGCGCGCTTGTTTTTTCTGGTCGCGTAAGATTTGTTAAATAAAAGGGAACTCTTTAGCTACAATGTATCAATGTTATGTTATAAAACAAATGGTAAACACCACAGCGTACACTATTGAGTTATGGATGCACTTGGGAGGTTTACTAAGCCCTCAAGAAGCTAGAGTCGCTCTCGGCTATCGCCTCGAGCGACTCTTACGCTGCTTTCGTGCTTAGCAACCTCCCGCGTGCATCCATAACTCAATAGTGTACGCTGTGGTGTTTACCATTTGTTAACTGTGTCTCGGAAACCGGCTTTAGTTTCATGTAAAGAAATAGAAAAGTGCACAAGAAAGTGAATATTTATAGAAATGCATTCGAGTATGGCCTCTATACAGTGCAACTCAACTTCAGGTCGTGAAAAGAAAAGAAAAGAAACCGAAAAGGCAAAAACAAAGGAAGAGGGTAGAGATATAAACACCAAACGAAGAAGAAGGGATATATAACATGAAGGAAAGTCTTATCAATGTCGAGGCATTTACTCGCACGACGGACTATCTTCAAGTTCAAACTTGCTGAGATAAACTTCCATCTGCCGGCCTCGTTCGATCGGAACTGCTGACGTACAGTCCATGTTGGCTGGGTAATTTTCAGGATAACCGGGACTTCTCATCGTATTTTTAATGATTGGTCCACACCCTGGTTCGTTAGAAGAAATGCAACAGTTTAGGTTTAGGTCAGGATAGAATTTTGACCTTGTAAGAAATTGCAAGAAGTTTGTTGAATACTACTTCCTAGACAGCTCATTTTTTATCAAGAAAATATAGTTGCTAAACCACGACAAGTTAAATTTGGGTTAAAGAGACTTTTTGAAAACTTAGTTTTTTGTAGGTCTTGTTTTTCCTAAAATCATGTCTTGAAGTAACATTATAATCTTCAACTCATAATTGTGGTCAACGTTTTTTTTATAGTATAGATACTTAAAAAAGTTTTTAATTCAAGGATTGTTTTTATTTACCTTTCACTAAAAGCACTGCCGTGTCAATGCCATACTTGCTATTTGCCATACAGCTGTAGTTACCTTCCTCATATAATCTGATACTTGCTGAGTCTGTGGTGTTTATCAGTACTGCAGATGTCTGTCCATGAACTATCGATGTGTAAATGAGAGGGGTTCCAGAGGCTAAACACGATACCTGACTGCCTGGAGTTATGGGTACTTTGGGATCTGGTGACGTTATCATTGGCGGAACTATAAAGTAGCAGAGACAGTAACTGTAATAAGCGAGCTTGATAACGAAGCCAACGCGGTGTTTAATCGTGCGAATTTCACAAGATACTTCAATAGTGATATGTGGCTAAGCAGTAAAAAATGTTAACGAAATAGTGGCATACGGAAAACCCTTAGAGCCACACAAAGACATGTACGAAAAGAAGCTCAAGTTCATCAAAGTCTTAAAAATTCGCGATCTTTTAATTTCAATCTACATTTAAAGCATATTTTCTCGGATCTTGATTGCATTTATGAAGATGGGCCAAAATCTACTGAAAAAAGACCGAGGTAGGTTCTAGAAACTAATTTTTTATATCTCAGCTTTTAAGGAATATCTAAGAATTCACTACTCACTGCGTTTTGAGATTTCATACGGTAGCCTGACCGTTTGGAAATTGTCTTCGAATGTACTTGAAATTCGACTGCGGTCACCATCATTTTGAAAACACGTCAGTAACCTAGCCTCACACCCATCAATTGACGTGACCCACAATTCATATCAGTACTAAAATTGTGCTCTTAAATGGCTGAAATAAAATCATTTTGATGAAATTTTACTTTATTGGTAATAAAGAATCCTCTGTGCGTACCAAATGGAACAGCGGTAAATTTTAAATGGAATCCCCTCTCTTCTCGACTGTGGTCTGAGTGGAAGGTTATTGCGAAGAACTCTCCAGTCAAAAATAAAATCTTGCCTGTTTGTCTGCCACAGAACCTCCCAATCTCCGTTCCTTCATCATCAGTAATAGTTACGTAATCAAATCTGTTATATTTATGAAAGATAGTTAAACAAATAAAACAACAACCGAAAAAATGTCCGTAAATGGGAAAATTGCGTCTTTGTTGAAATATGTTCTTTGTGTTATAGCTCACAAAGGCACGCCAGTTTTTAGCTCTTAACTTCCCCTTTAAAATATCTTGATTTATACCATATGCTTGTGTTACAACCAAATCATTGTTTTAAGATCTATTTCCATTGAAAATCAAGTACCTCTCTGTTGTATACCAGGGCAGTGTATCTCATTAAGGATATTTATTTCCGCGGGAAAACGGCTGAGATTGTACTTGAGCTGAGTGCGCTTTGGATTAAAGCTTCTGTTTTTTGTCTTTTTACCGTGTAAAGACCTATATACTTGCTTCTGGTTAAATTTCTAGCACTAAATAGTATTGGGTACCCCCCCATCCCCCTCTAAGCCACGAAAATTAGGGTTAGAAAATATACAGCTTTGTAATAAGTCGGCACATATGTTTACAGCTAAAATTGAAAATGTAACCCTGTATGAGTACATTTTTTTAAAGACATCCTAAGGCTGTGATTCAGCTTCTAGCCCATTTGTGCTTGTTTGCTAGAGTTACCTGCATCCTGAAGAATCCAGCTCTAATTCAAAATCAATGAAGGTAATATTCATCGTCATCGCTTGTGGAATATGAACCACATAATCACAGTCCGTACTATTTGGGTAGTTTTTGGGATATCCAGGGCTTTTCAGTGTATCATTTGCCAATGAACCACATTCTACATAGAGATAAGAGGTAAAAAGAAATGATTCAAAATGCCTCCTGGTATTAATTGTGGGATATATTTTTCAAGTACTGAAGATTGAATTTAGACTGACAGAAATGATCTGCAGCCTGGAACTTTTTGGACAAAATAAGAATAATGTGCCGCTAGTGCGAGCTGTTAAGGGGATCCGGGGCCACACCCCGTCCGAAAATAAGGCTCCAATTTCTCCCTCTTAAACGCCATTTCCAGCATTCCCGAGAACTCCAAAGCATTGCGAAGGAACGTCATAAAATCTGGAGTTTGCCTTTTTTCTCAGCCAGAAAACAAAAAATTATAATTATCCTTTCATAACTTAATAAGCAGTCAATAAGTGAAAGTGAAACAACTACGCAAAAACAATGTTATGAAATTGTTATTATGAAGAATCAAACAAACTCAAATTCATAGTTTTCTTACCGTCTTGAAAAAACAGAAAATATATTTCAAAGCCTCTCTGTTCACTTTTGTTATCAGTGTGGAACCTTAACAGAGCAAAGTCTCCAGAGATAGCAATCCGGTAATTAGTCACTCGGCCACAAATTGTGGAGAGCAATACCGACCTTTGATTTACTTTCCTATTTATCTGCAAAAAGTCATGCCTACAAAAAAAGAAGATTACGTATCAAACCGCACATTAGGTTACTTGGAAGCTGGGGCAAGAGAAAAACCTGTAAAAATGGCAAATGCTAACAGAGAGGACAAAAAGACAAAACACAGGGTATTATACGAAACATATTTCTTTATCTGTAAAAGACGAGAAAGGCTATAGCAATTATTTATAAAAGCAGTAGACCATAACTATTTTTAGTGTAATGGTAAAATTTTATTGTGTACTATTTTTATCGTGTTATCTAACCCACAAGTGGGATGTTGGGAGAACGGTGAGAAAGCTAGTAAACCGATGTTAGAGGGTCTGAATGGTGTTAACCGTTAGCCGTAAAAAAAGTTAGCCTTCAGTCGAAAAAATTGACAAATTTTAACCGTTGGTCGTAAACAAAGTTGATCTTAAACATATTTTCTTTCTTCAGTGTATCATTTTGGATTAACTGTTTGCCGTAAAATGGCCAAAAATTAAACTATCAGCTGTTACAGCCATTGCTCCATTGAGACCCCCATGTTAGGTCAAACCAATAAACTAATAAGTACGACTTAAATCGCAGAGCTGCGAAAGGTTTCCCATTTTCCATAGCATGAAACGGCTATATTTCAAACCTGAATTCAATATCCAACAAGTTACTCCAAACACTTTGATTGCTTGTTTTTTTTTTCTTTAACGAGATGTCTTTTCCACATCAGTCAAATTCTTCCGTGACCCTTGAATACAGCGCAATAGCTTTTGATTAATCGGCTACAAAAATTTGGCAAAAAAAATTTCGAAAACCTAATTATAATAATGAACGTTTTAAAACAAAAATAACAGCATTTAGGCAAAGGAATTTCGCAAATCTGCAGGATAATGATTGTTTTAAGAGTTCTCCACATCCAGGTACTAACTGCTTCTGAGTACGCCATAATTTCTCTAAATGATCTCCTTTCTTCACGTACAGCAGCAGTTGCTTCTTCATGCAGGATATTATCATGATAGAGAGTTCTACTAGTTTAAGACAATCTTGTATCTTTTCAGTACTTTTACCTGCACAATGCGTGATCTTCCAACTGTAAATCCCAAATCATGATTTGCATTTGCGTGTTTGGAGGAATAGGGACGGAGTAATTGCAATCTAGATTGCTTGGGTAGCCGAGAGGATACCCAGGACTTCTCAGCTTATTATTGGTCACGGACCCACAGTCTGTTAACGCACAGTAAATGAAAATTGTCTGAATCATTTGCAAGTAATTCATAATATGAACGAGGAAAGCAGCCAACGAGATATTCTAATAATAAGCCTGACAGCGCTCTTAACCATCGCTCCACAAATCACTGGTTAATTTCTCATGCTTTTAGCTGTATTACAACAAGGTCACTACGATTTTCTCAAATTGTTACTTCGAAGAAACGATATTTCTTTCTTAGGTAACACCTGTTCATTCCATAAAGAGGAAGCAAAATGAACAATAAAGGAATAAGGAAACCGTTACATGGCTGCAACACAGAAGATATGGTGGAACGTTAGGTGCATATGCAATGACATAATAATTACGTGAAATCACTTTAAATATTTTTGCGCTTGAAAAATAAATAGTAAAAATCAATTCATATTTGCTCTTAATTTTGACCAGTATTACTGTAAAATTTTGAAGCCTTGTTCCTCGTCATCTTCCATAATCAACAACACCTTTTTCCATAATTGTCCATAAAATGAAAGATAAAGTTTAATTACAACTATTTTACTGGAGTATTTACCGAATGGAACAGGTGTAAAGTATATCTTGAATCCCCGTTTTTGTTCAGAAGCATCTGAATGAAAAGCCATGAAGGCATATTGTCCAGTTACAAAAACCTCCTTCCCTGCCTTCTCTCCACAGTATAAACCAAAGTAGTCGTTCTTCTCGTTGGTGATCCTCAAGAAGTCCCAGCTACGAAAAAAAATATACAATAAGCTGCTATATACACGCATTTTAAATCATTGGGTTTTAAATGTGATCTATAGGAGATCAAACGCAGTGATGACTTCATCATTAACATTTGTAATCATTGTTACGGCATGAAAATGCATTCCATGGTGCAGAATTTGGTTAAAATATCAGCGACACGTTCGGCTGTCAGGGTTTGTTTTAAATAAATTTCAACGTCATAAGCTGAAAGAGGCACTGTGGCATAGAATCTGTTCACTACATAAATCGTTTTTTATGATGAATTCTGTCTAAAAGAACAATTCTTTTCAGGGGATAAAGTCTTCGGCCACAACTTCCGTCTATAGAGGAACAACTCTCTTGGTAATTCAATGGGCCTGAGACTCTAGCAGCGTTTTAGCCTCGTTAGTTTCAATCTAATGCTAGATATGATTTAATAGTTACATGCAATGGTCGCTGTCCTCAACGTCAAACTCAGCAAAGTAAATTTTCATCTGCTTGTTTTGTGGAATGGAAACAAAAGACGCACAGTCTGTATTGCTTGGATAGTGGTTAGGATATCCAGGACTGGTCAGTGTATTATTATGGACCACACCACATCCTGTTACACCAAAGAAAGGTAGAATAGAGCTGCTTTCAATCAAATGATTTAAATGTGTCACTTCACTAGTAGCTCACTTAGGGGGATAACGTCTTTACTTTACATCTGGTTAGCTCAATGGATAGAGTGCTGGACTGATGTGCGGGAGGTCGAGGGTTCGAGCCCCGGCCGGACCAACACTCAAGGTCTTAAAATAATTGAGAAGAACATGCTGCCTTTCTATAACATCAAGAAATTATTTAGATATTCTAGTCTTCTCGGATAGGGACGAATAAATGGAGGTCCCGTCTCCTGCAGGGTTAGGGGTAGGAGACGTTAATTTCCCACGCACGAGATTACTGTGTGATGGATGTCCTGCCCTAGGGTGGGATGGGTGGTTTGTTGTCTTGCGTTTCATACATGAGCCTCTGGCTCGGGCAATATGGGTAACCATGCCCCACGTAAAGACATTAAACTTTGATTACTATTACTATTACGATTACGATTACTATCCGCAGGTCGATTATGATTTATTTTATAAAATTGTGATGAGATGCCTTTGCAGGAACATAAAATCCACTAAAATCTGCCCTGCTCCCAAAATGTGTTACGAGCTCAATAAGTAGTTACGCACCGCCAGTTTCTTTAAGATTCGGGTTCGAATCCCTTTGAAGGCTAAATTTTTCAAGCTTCTCTTCTGAGATTTGTGAAATTGCAACTCAACAACGAATATTAATTCTACACTTGTCCCTTGTCTATTTCTAAACTTTCTCTTTCTTTTCTCTCTTGTCAATCGTTTTTCCAAAACGCCAATACCCTTCTGATGTAACGAGTTTAAAATTTACGTCCAGAGCTACCACACCTACAGCCAAATTAAAGCGATCAGGCCCTCTCTCGGAAAGTACGGTCCCTTCTCCTCTAAGTACAAATGCGAATGAACTTACCATATGGAACAAATGAAAAGTGCAAACGAAATCCTTGTCGTTGATTATTTTCATTAGAATGGAATACTATTTGCACAGACTCCCCAGCAATTATGACTTTCCTGCCCGTTTCTTGACCACAATACACACCAGCCACCATCCCTTTGTCATTTTTTATCGTCAAAAAATCATACCTAAAAAGCGATAAAATTTTGAACTGTGAAAAACCTTCTGTAAAAAATATGAAACGCAAGTTTGCGTTTGGATTGTGATGTGATTTTCGTCTAGGCCCTGTATGTTATCCGTTGGCAGCCAGCTGCTAAAAGGATGGCAGCTTATTTTCACTGACATCTAAACCAGTGAAAACTAGAGAAAGTCGTCCCTCATGTCATGGTACCGAGGGTTGGTTTTTTTCTTAGTAACAACTTATCTTTGTGTAAGGCTGGGAAAGCTAACTCAATGCCATTGTGATTAATTAAATAAGAAGTCAGAAAACGCTTAACACTCCTCGAGCGTGCATATCCCGTTTTCTTTGTAAGGGTGGCGAGGAAGGACAATGAAATTTTAATACAATTTTGCTACCGACACATAATGATGGTGCGTAAGACATTTGTTTGAAATTCAAATCCTACTTTCGGACATGACGAAGAGGGGCGCACGTGTTCCAAGTTAAAATAAACAAAAGTAATGTGCAATGTCTTGTTTTCAGGTATTTGAAGCGAATAAGTACAGTTCATATTTCCTGGGTAGTCGTTTGGATAACCAGGACTCAGCAGTGTGTTATTTACCATAGAGCCACAATCTGTTGGAGCAATGAGAGAGATAATCATTGCACTATTATTATTATACTAATCCTCTTTTCATATCAATAATTCGCTCTATGGTATCCCATCAATAATTCTTCATCTATGCCCACCTCTGTTCCTCGGACTTTGATAGTAAAGAAGTTTTTAATCTCGATGTAATGGACGCCAAATAGGAATCTATCTGTGAACATAGTTAGTAGAGGGAACTATGCTGTGAACAACCAATAAACGGACTTCGCTTGAAGTTGCCAACTTAAGTATTAACAAAACTACAGGATGTTTTCTAATTTTTTCACCAATAAGCAAGGGCTTTTGCCATTAAACCAATTAAAACCTAATGCAGCAACACCCTCATAACAAAAAATCAATGGGTAGACCAATGGATGAAAGTTCAGCTTAAGAAGGCAATTTAACAGTTCTGTCTCGCCGACAGAATAGATTTTCTTTTAAGCTTATACTCCAGCTAGTTGCAGGTGTAAAGCTCTAAAAAAAGAAAACTATTGTGGGTAATAACACCTAAGGACGCCTTGCTTAGCTTAGCTATAGAGAAATGAAACTATTGCATCATTGAACCTACCTGCAACATTAGCTTCGAAATGCAGTTTAAACCCTCTACTTCGAGTTGCGTTCTCAGTGTGAAACGTGATGAAAACGCTAGTTCCAGTTACATTTATTTCATTTCCAGAACCTTGACCACAATACACACCGAACTCTTGGTTCTTCTCATTGGTAATCTTCAAATAGTCTCGACTACAAGAGAATACTAACATGTTTTTTTTTTTATTTTTCCGTAAGGTGCATGCTTCGTAATGTTGCAATTCAAAAGATGCAAGCTGCACTCGTATTCAGTGGCTGCATACGCGAAAATTAATAAGTAACAAACTGCTGTATTAATAAAGGGGGTAAGTTTCTAAAGGTACTATGGTGCTGCGTCTGTGGGAGCAGCAAGGTAATTTGGCTATATCAACTAAGTTGAAATTGTAAATTGGCCACCTTAAAGAGTTAAAAATCTGACATTTCGAGCGTTAGCCCTTCGTCATTTACTGTATTAATAGTATACTTCTCCCATTTCAGTCTATCCTTGCCTTTGGCTCTTAAATGGGGTAATGAGGAAAGTGCATGCCAATTCTGGAGAGTTACTGGTGATTACCAGGAGGAAAGTTGTCTTATGGTCTAACGTTTGGTCATGCAGATGATCGCGGTAAATGTGCTTTTTCTTTTTTCAATGAATTGCAAGGCCAGAATTTATTCGCCCTTGTTTCAGTCATTTATTTTTCAGTTTGTGTTTCCAAGATTTATCGTCTGCATCAGTAGTATTGTAAACGTAAAATTTCAGACACGACTCATCGTCGAATGGTTGAAAAAGTTACTTAACTTACTTGCAATCCTTACTTTCCTCCAGATCAAAATCAATGAAGTAGATTTGCATCTGCATGGCTCGTGGAATAGCAACAGAGGTCCCACAACGCATAGCATCAGGGTAGCTATCAGGGTATCCAGGACTTGTTAAAGTTCCGTTTATCACTGTACCGCATTCTGTTAGAGACAGCATTTTATAGATTGACATATCTTACCTTATAACCAAACTTGTAGAGAAAATGTCTATTGGAAATACAACTACGAAGAAAAATAATTTTTACTGTCCATAACACGTTCATTCCTTTTAACCATTTTAAAAATGATATCGCGAAAAAAATACTGCATTTTTTTACACTGATTCGCATAATTGATAAAATCTCGAGTTATGATTGGTTAACGAAGCTATTAAGCGTGAAATTGAGCGTTGTTCTATTGTTTGGCATCTCTTGTTTCGTGCTCAGGATAAAAAAAAAATTATCATTGATGTTTTTCTTTTTTTCTTATCTTTGTTCAATTATGCAATTCAAGGAAAATCCATTACCTGACTCGCAAATTCCGCGTTGAATTGCACTTGAAAACCGATATCGCACTCATCGCTGCGCAATTCATGCGGTATCGGTTTTGGCGTGTAATTTAACGCGGAATTCACGAGTCAGGTAACGGATTTTACAATAGAATGTGATTCTTTCAATTAGTGTTAGCATTCCACCAATCTCTGAGAAACCCGAGTTTTAACTACAAGAAGTTTTTATTGTTTCAGGCCTTATTTCCTTTATTTCTTCAGTAGCAGTTCACCTGCTAAGATCCGTCCCGTATTTTGTCATACTAGACGGGTGAACTGAAACACGGTTTTTTTTTTTTGTTCACTTGCGATAAACAATGTGTTAATGCTTCAAATTGGCATCAGTTTTCTCACCTATCACTGGGAAGTCTTTTTGGTCGATTCCATACTTGCTCATTGCCACACAGCTGTAGTTACCTCCTTGGTATAATTTGACCCTAGCTTGGCCTGTAGTGTTCACAAGCACTGTAAGTGGCTCCATCAACACTATCGCTTTATAGATGGGTAGAGATCCCGTGGCGGAACACCAGGCTTGGTCGCCTGGAATTATGGGTTCTACAGGATCGAGTGATGTTATTCTCGGTGGAACTGCAACACAGTAGTGACTATCTGAATCAACACCTCTTACTAAGAGACAGGTCATCATTTATCGCCCGTGTGGAGGGTGGGCAGGAGAATTTTGGTTTTGTCTACTACCTAATCCCCCAAGGTACTTTCATAGTCCCTTCATCCCCTATTTATGCTCTTTTGGCGACAACTGAACCCCACTCTATTTTCCTAGAATACCGTGAGATCCTCTATCAATCCTCCACCACCCCTCCCCCCTCCCCTAAGCAGGCGGTAGATAATGCCTTTTGGCCCCTAACTGAGCTTAAAGTCCATGTTGCAGGTGAGTTACAGTCCGAGTCGTTTTCAAAAAGATTTATGAGTCGCCGGAGTACGTTGTGTTCGTTACTTAATTCGTAAAATAAACGAGATCTTTCAGTATGGATCCGAAAAAATAGTCCTAGTTAGATATTTACGACATTTATACTATGGCACCTCAACAGGCTAGCTAACGACTTCATCTTTTTAGCATAAAGAGAGGATCATCCTCCTCTCCTAGTTGCACTTGTGGTTGGAACCTCGTTCCCAGGGCCTTTTCCCTTAGTTGGGAGTGGGATACCCCCGACCCACCCCCAGCTAATGAAAAAGGCCCTGGGAACGAGGTTGTTGTGGTTGTACATACCATTTGACAAAACAGTAAAATGTAAAAGGAATCCTTTCTTTTCTAGACTTGTATCTGAGTGGAACACTATTTCAACATATTCTCCTGTCACAAGAGTTGAAGTTCCAGTCTCCTGACCACAGTAAGTACCAACTTCAAGTCCACTGCTAGTTTTGATTTTCAAGTAATCAAACCTGAAACAATAGTATATTAGTAACAGTAAGTAACCAAGAATATGCTACATTACTACTATGAAGACTGGGAGCAGTGGTCTATGCTTATCTGCGTATTTATGCTCACCTGCAAGTTGGCTCACTGAACTCTACGTCAAAATAAATGAATGTAATGTTCATCGTCATTTCGTTTGGAATAGGCAAAGTAACGGTACAGTCCAGGTTGCTTGGGTAGTTGTTTGGATATCCAGGACTTTTTAAAGTGTTGTTTACCACTGAATTACAATCTGTAAGACGGGAGATTGTAAAAATTAAGTTTGTGGTGAGTGAAATCTCTAAACCACTTATTTATTTACTTATTTAGTCAAATTCAATTACACAGATAATCAAAACGATTTATATAGAATCAGCATAGTTTTTTCGGTCCCAATCAATGGTGAACGTTCTGTAGATAATACCGGCCAACATCTTATTTGCTCTACTTATAGCAAAGTTAATGTGATCGTTCCAGGATGTGATCGTTCCATGAACGTAAATTGTGGCATTACATGAAACAATTATTTTCTGTAGACAGCATTTTCTGGCATTACTCCCAAAGGTTATCAAGCTGTCTGCCCAAATTTGCAGCACTTCTACTCACATTTTTGGTAAAATAAACATTTTAGACAAATATTCATTTAAATAAATCATCAGGTGAAACAAGGAGTCAAGTGTTGACCTGTTATACTGCTAACACTGCCAGGTTGAAGACCAGTCCATTGTTTAAATAATCAAAGAGAAAATTGAACATGGCGTGAAAAGCTAATTTCGTTCTCTGCCATTGCTAATAGATTTGATTTCGTTTTGGCAAAGATCTTTTAGTTTGTCTCTTTGCCTGTTCCTTAGTTTTCATTTCACGGTTTTTTTTAAATTGGCAGCACAGACAAGAACCTGGCAAATCTTTGTATTTCAGCAATGAGGTTTTTTTTTCTTTTTTCATTACTAAGTTTGATGGACTATTATTAACCCCATTGCAACAAGGTACACAGTGGTTAGTGAACCACAACTAAACAAGAAGAAAAGCAAACAGTTGTTTAAACTCACCTTGTATTTCAGCAGCGCCTTCCTTCTCATTCCACATCAACGAGACAAGTAACAAAACCCAATTCATGGTACTTGAATCCCTTTTCTCTTTCATATCCACAAAGCAATCATTGCTGCGATGATAAAATTTGAGGCCGGAACCCTATTAGGACCTACTGATAATAACTGAAAAACTGCATTTACTTGGCAGCTGATAAAATAGTCTTCCATGCAGCCCTTTTCGGCGTCGTCACGCAAGCGAAAACTCACCCACCAACGGCTGCTCACTTTCGAACAACATTCCTTTCCCATTGTAATGTGTTATCCAATCAAAATAAAGTTATTGTCTGACAAACAACCAAAGAACACGCGATATTTTTATTTTTCGCGAATTCACAGGAAGTGCGTTGGAGTTCGTTTCTAAACATGGAATGCGATGTCATCGAAACTCCGAAGAAAATGTCAGATAATGATCGCTGTTTTGTTTGCCCAAATCCTGTGGGAAAATTTATAAAAACATCTCTTCTCTCTTCAATAATTACTGTTATGGCTTCTCTCTGATGCGAATTTAAGCTCTCAATACCAAATGTATCTCGCACTGAGTCGAAAGCGTCTTCATTTGTCAGTTTCAACGCTCGGATAATACGAACTCTGTGATTGGTTTGATTATTCAGGCGCGAACGCTTTCCAGAATATGGTAAGTAAATGCTGATTGGCCAATTTCCGGAAAGCAATGTTGTTCGAATGTGAGCAGCCGTTGGTGGGGGAGTTTTCGCTTGCGTGACGACGCCGGAAAGGGCTTCAAGGGAGACTACTGATGAAAACGTGTAATTTGCATTTAGACTTACCTTATGCTTTAAGTTTTAATAAATAGAAGAATATTATTGCTATTTATATTGCTATTTACTATAATTTCAGAGCTGATCCAAGAGTTTCCAGCAATCTGAATAGTCGAGCGGTTCCTTATATGACGCTATATAAACCGCTCCACGCGGTTTATATAAAATTTTAAAATAAAATGTTAATATATGTTACTAAAATGTTATGATTTCATAAATTTCTCTATTGTTCAGTTGTGAAATTATACTAAAACAATTATTCGCCTCAGGTTCGGTGAATATTGCCGATTATTCGACGATATTCACCTCGCCTTCGGCGAATAGTTGTTAATTATAATCAGGATTATGCGCTGTCATTTCCCTCGCAAGTCAAATCTATCTTATTGAGCCTATTTAAATATTTTTACGTCTTTCGTAGGCCTCAATTCACGGACAGCTGAGTCTATTTTAGATGAAAAAAAAAAAAAAAAAAAAAACTTAAAATCAGTATTGCATCTCCCATCACAAATCTTCCGTTTGAACTTCGACCCGCAGCGGAACACCGTGCGGAAAAATCCATTAAGGGAATATTGCTTTTATTTCAAATGCTATCGTGACAAGCTGTAAATGAAATTCCTAAATGATCGATAAGATCATAAAATGAATAAAAGCCTGACGAGATAGGTTTATTGAAAAAAAATCACGATGTGTACGAAAGGATTCAAGGGCAACAAAAACGCGACGTCTATCGGCGGACTTAAAGTACGCCACTGATTAAAAGCGCTTTGTGCTAGTGTGCAAATTATGCAGGCATCAAATGCACAAATTCAAAAATATGGATAGACAAAGCACATTGGGTAAATTACTATCATAAACATGGAAGAATCCGCCTAGAATGGAGATTTGGGACTTGTTAATTAACCAAACATTTAATGTCAGCTGTTGATAACTCACTTCACACGTCAGCTGAAGATGATTGGGATTTATATTTTTGGCACAGTCCTGCAGCAGGTTTATTTAGTAACATCAATTCGCTCCGCTATGTCGATTGCATCGAAGAACGATAATTTCTGTGAGAGGGAACATATTACCCTTTCGCTTAAAGGAGTAGAGCCTCTTTTAAGTAGTGAAGAGGAGAAAATTATTTAATCGATGACAACAAAATATTGCAATTATTATTAACACATAAATCCGTTGAATATTTGAAATTACATGAGTTATCCCTTTTTTAAGGTTTTACAACATTAAAATGCCTCAATGATTGCGGTAGAAATTGGCTTGAAAAGAAAAAAAAGGATTGAATAGCTAGAATACACCCAAGATCAGCTGGCTTCTACTGTACTTACCCTTAAAAGCGACGTTGCAGTTAACCTTTAAGAAAACTGTACATTTTTTATTGCTCTGACTCTGAGATGAATATTTCATTCTTCAGGGGCTTTTTCACACTTCTTATGCACCGGTTTTGTTTAGTATGATTTAAAATCTCACGAGGTGCAACACGCCTTGAAAGAAGCAGTGAGCTACTGCTAACTAGATTTGTTCTTGGTTACCCCAAGCTCTTAAGCTGCATTCTGTATGAAGGCAACTGGTCTACCCTCGGTGTATCTACATGTTTGTTTCAAGTACTTTGTATTGGCTCTGAAAACCCGTTGGAAGAGTGGTCAGTTAAAGTTATCATTATTATTATTACTATTATTATTATTGTTATTATTATTATTATCTTTATTGTAATGCTGTCAACATGTCAAATAGCCGCCTTTAAAGACTGAATAGTAAAAGTCTACACAAGCTGCAGGCGAAATATGTTACTATTTCGGTTATTATTTTTTTTCCTAACTTTCATCCCATCAAAACCACAGTTATCTCATGATCGATGCCAATTACTGATAAAGTAAAATGCAGCTCATGTCACGACACTAAGAAACCTTTTGAAAATCTGTTCAACATAAGCCAATATCCATGCCACAGTTTTTTACTAAAGAAATAATTAGAAAGGATATGGCTCAACAAGGAAGAAAAAAAAAACAACATTCAAACAGACACTAAAATAAGAAACGAATCTTCAAGACAAAATGATCAATTTTCATGAATTCACATGCTAGTCGATAGTTGTGGAAATTATTCTGTCATTTTTAACTGAACAGGAGACTTCTTTTTCTTTATGGAAAATGAGCACTTCAGCTAATGGGAGCCTTTTTAATGGCAGCGCTGTATGTGGCGATGTCATTTTGTTATTCAAGTCACTTTTTCAATTAAAAAAAAACATCGATCTGCAAACCCTTTGCATTCATCCTCCCACCTGCTTCCATTCATTGCTGTTTTTCTAGGCTAACCTTGAAAATTTCGGCGCTTCGTTATTTTGAGCTTTGCAATCTTTTTCTCTTACCTATCTTAAGGAAGAAATTACCTCAATATTAGTCGTCATTCAACGAATCACACGTGTTAAATTTTATCCAGCTTTGACAGAATTGTTTTAAATAAGCTTATGCGTTTGAAACAACTGGATTCTAATTTGGAGCGTTAAAAATAGTTCCTCCCTCAGTATCCCTCTGTGTGTCGATGAAATTCCTCTGTCACAGATTATATGTAATAGAAAAAGGTCTGCCACACAACTACCACAGCAGCGATCAATATTATGTACTAGGAAACAAACCAAACAAAAACAAAAATTCGATTTTTGCGTATCCAGTCGACCTTATCGTTTGAGGAAGACAAGGAGCAAGCAGTCTTAATGTCGCGATCCACATCGGAAGTGACTACACATTTTTTAATTTTTTAATTGAAGATAAACAAGGGATCATATACTTCAGAGGATCTCAATGTGGCTAACTATTAAAAGTCTTTAGCGATTAGACGTAAACATTGACAAATTTAAGTCTGAAAATTTTACTATCTACGATGTGTCATCTGAAAGCGTCAAAATATTGTACTGTTTTGTGTCTTGTCTCTAGTGGGTGAAGCGGGAAAACTTAAAATTACTTTATATCAACCCAACAGCAGCTCGATTAACTCTTTTTTGCATGAATCTAATGGTAAAAGGGTTTGCAGTCGTTTCATATCGATGGTCATTTAGTACTCAAAATTCAGTCGATTCGTCCTCAGTTTGAGTCGGTTCGTACCCAAACCGCTGGTCGAATCGTACCCGTCCTAATATACACTTATTCGAAACACCTCACGCACTCGTGCTAGTTGCCGTGTACGACAAGTTGGTAGAGTCAAGCGAGTAAGATACAAGCAAAATTCTGTAGTGTATACTTGTTACCTTCTAAACATGAACAATATATCATTGCCTAGCTCAAGGTAAGTGTGATATTTTTAAAAGTCTATTGTTTACACTTGTGAGTCTCTAGCATTAACAGCTCGTGTTAGTGTAATTTTTTTCTTCCTTTGTTATTAATGTTAATAAAAACATATCTTTTCGTCAATTCGCCCATTCTAAAGAAAGCGGGTGTGTAAAGGTGCTTTGAATCACTGATAATAACTTTTCAAAATGATGGAATTAATTTTTAACAGTTATGTGATAATCGTAATCGTAACAGAAAGAAATTAATCGTTAGCCATAAAATGGCCAAAATTTGAACCGTTAGCCGTAAAAGTCATTATTCCATTGAATGAAAATGAGTAATTTGTCTTATGATGCGTTGGCTTTATGATTTGCGTGCATCAAGAGAGCAATATTACGTATTTTTTTTTCAAAGTACTTTAATCCACTTTTGTGTTGCAATTTTCTTGGTGGGATGATGTTTTTCATTTTTGCTGATTTTTATTTGTGCATTTCAATTTGATGCGTTCGTTAAAAGATGGAAGAGAGCGGAACTTGCCATATAGGGCCTATTATTCCGGATCCTTAAAGGGTAGAACCAATTTGGTTCTTAGTATCTACAGCTCAGTTATAGTGTAAAAGATGAACTGCGAAGCGCCGTTTTTTTTTCGCCTACATACACTTCTTAAAGCCTGTTAGATCATAATGCAGCAGAGCTTGTTAGATGCGTCTACACTTATTCGACGCGCTATGACGACTATGATGTTTGTTACGTATGTACTCACTACCAGAAAGGTGATTTGATATTTAGCAAGCTAATTCCCTGACAACTGAGAGTTTCATTCTTTCAAAATAGAGCAAAATGGAAAAATAGATCTATAAATATTTCAATAAAATTAAGAGAGAGATGAAAATTCGAAATTATATTCATCTTTCAGTAGGTAACTCTCCAATGTCGTAAGAAACCATACATATTTTGAAAATTCACTTATATGGCTATTTTTTTGTCTCCTCAAGTTTCATCATAGGTAGTCAGGATAATTACAAAGTACTTACCAAAAAAGAATTCCATACTCTTTAGGGACAATGCATAGCTAAAGGAAATGTTTTCTTGTGATTCGAAAAGACAAACCACTCGTAAGTATGGAGAGTACTGGACACTTAGTCATCGTTCAGGTGTTAGTTAAACTTAGCCTGGAGCCAGAATTTCGCAATCATTACTCTCAGATGCGGTGCATTTTTGAAAATCCTTTTGAAGTCCCGCTGTTATGTTAGAGTGATGCTCTTAAGCGTAAATCATTCAATCAAATATTAGTCCTAGAGGCTATTCCATTAGGATTTTGAAATTTACTTACTACATCAAAAATATTAATTCAACCGTTACTACATTTTATTTTTTCGAGATTGGTAGAAATTTCGGCGTTTTTCTTTTTTGTCTTATCAGAAGTGGAGCTGAAGGTGACACGATTCATTTAACGTTAGCAAGACTTTCTTTTAAAAACAGTTAAGTGTATCTGTTTCTTATTCATTCAGAGCTAATTAGGTTGCTGAGAAGCCCAGCGTCATTTAGTAATTTAAAAGAGCACCTTAACTAATTTCTTTAATTTTTAATCTAAACGTGTTCTTCGGCTGATATATTTTTCTGAACCCAGAGCACATGCGTTGCCTTTATTTATCTCCTCAAAAATCCTCCCCATAAATATGTTATACGTTGAATAAGTTTCCTCAATTATGTTTGACGTCTCGTGTCTAACTGTGCCTACCAACATTAGTAATCTTTTCATTAAAGCTACTGAAAAGCATAATCATGATTCGTGGTTCTCTTCTTCCGGCAATTTTTATATTAACCCATCGAGATTGGAACTCCACTTGCGATGCTCTTCGTCAACTCCCGAAGAAAACTTTCAAAAAACTCTTTAAGGACATGTTATTTTCGTTCTTAGAGGCTGAGGATTGCTTTGTTGAATCGCCCCTTCTACTTAAAAAAATTAATTATAAACCGCCTTCATAATTTATATTCTACATTCTATAGTGTTTCTATTTTCTTTCGTTTAGTGATGTAGTTATATCTACGAGTTTTTTTTAGGTGGTTGTCTTTTTCTGGAAATGTTATTAATTTATGTTTAAGTTTTATTTGTAATCTATACTGCTGCTGTACCTCTAATTTCCGCCCGCCTCGACTAGCTCCTGCTATTTGCGGGCGTGAACGGTCTTCATGAACACGAAAGTTTGCTTGACAACCGATTAATGCTGATATCTTGTAAAACGCGTAGACTACATTAATAATAATTAGATGAATAATAATAATTAAGTAGATGTCAGTACTTATCTAAACATGATTTATCTTTTTTTTTTACGACATTTTACCCAAAAATACTTTGAATAATCTCAATTAATTCAACTAAGAGAAAGAGAACATTCTCAAACCAAGTAATAGCCTCTTTACACTTCAATGAAGAAAAAACTGTATCATTCGAAATTCATGTGACAATATCTACTGAGAGAGAAAACCTCTTAAAGATCAATCAATAATCTGAATCAGTTGCAATCAATTTTGATCCCAAACTTTATTCCACCTCAAAAAAAGTTTGATTGAAATCTGGAAAGTTCAACGGCACAATTTTGTAAGAGGCTTTGACGTAAATGTCAAAATTTATGGTTCTTGCGTTTACATTGAGACACATTACTCGAACTACCTCGTCACAAGACGATCATGCAGTGCATGGTATCCATCGAAAACAGTATAGTATATCTGCTCCAATTTTTCTTCTTGATTATTTCCACTGAATAACTATCAACTTTTTTTACGCCGAATTACGATCAGTTGTTCTCACCTACCAATAAGCTGAACCTTTTCTTGGGTGTTCAAGTGATCTAGCTAGCAGACTTCATAGGGAAAATGTTGAATAAATTGCGAGTTCGGTTTTGTCAAAATTAGTGCACTTTTCGAAAGAGTCTCGTGAAACAAAAACCGTATTTAATATCGAAGGCCAATGAGAACAAGAACCACATCAGAAAGAGCCAATGTGAACTCATGGTTAAAAACAATCAAACGTGGAGCGTTGGAAAACAGGAATGATCAAGACACGATTAGTTTTAGTTCTGCAGTTGGTTGTTTAAGAAGGCGGCTTGTATCGTTTTATCCTTGATATGTGGATATTAACAATGAATCAGCTTATTTACCCTGATTTATAACATAATGAATCCAGAACGCTTCATCTTATCGGCCAATTCATTGGGTTATAGAGCCGGGGTGTGACTAGTGATGTCATAAAGCAATAGAACACACTTTCCCATGCTCTATCAAGCCATGGGAGAACGCTCGAAAACCTCTTAAATCACGTCCTCGCCTTCGGCTCGTGAAAATTGTAATCTATTGCTTAACAAGGGTATTCAGAATTTTCTCAGTTCCCTAGCGGTAGGTTGGGAATCATAGATTTGAATAAAGAATTTAACAAAAGAAAAAAATTACCGTGACTCGAGAATTATTGCAAAGAACTGTCCGAAAAATTGAATTGCTCTGTTTGTCTAATCCAGTGTTGAGTATAAAACTCAAAAACATAACATCTCGGAAAATCTCTACCAAATATTAATGTCTCAGTTGGTCTATCTAAAATTTCCGACGAGTGCATTTGACAAACTATTTGTAAAATCTGACTACATCGATCACTAACTTGTGGAAACTCAAAAGAGGATGGGTTAAATGATGGTAAATCATTAATTTGCTAATTATCTTCAAATGTAGGTGCTAGCATTCTCTTGAAATAATCGTCTCTTTCTGATGGTAGAGTTCTGTCACTTGCAGCTCATCGTCCGTTTTCATCATCCTTTATAGTGGGAGTGTTATAATATGAACTGGATTCAACGCGCTTGCTGAAGTCGAAGTAGGGAGTGTCTTTTGAGATAATCAGTTCTAGTCTTTCAATCAACTGGGAGAAGCTGGGGCGAGTAGTTGGTTCTTGCCTCCAGCATTCGGTCATCAGCCCATATCTGTTGGAAATAAAAGAAGGTAGAGTGAGCCCTTACAATCTTTTAAGGTATCTCCTTCTTTCTATACTTATTTACAAATGGGTGCCAATTAAAAATGGCCATTAAGTTGGTCGGGAGTTTCTCGGAATGAGCAAAGGAATGTTTCACCCAGTGCTGTAAACTACATGTAACTGACAAATGAGTGTCCATGAATTTCGGAGCCAATTTGTTTGAAATGAAACGTACAAGTACTAAAGGGCTCGAGGTTACAGATGTTCCAGATGCAGAACTTGACCAAAGTTATAAGAAAAAAATAGAGTTTGGCTGCATTACAAGTCTCGATGTGCTTTTCTAGATGACTTAACAATGACGCTCTAACTCTCGAGATCTGTTTCAAAAACTGTTTCCTTTAGCTGATGGACAACTCTTTGCAAATACCATAGGGCCACACGCAAGTACAATTAAAGTTGGAAGGGGTCAGCTACTCACACTTCATCAGAGCACATGTCTGGCCTCTCCATTCTAAAGCCGGTCTTAAGTACTCTGCATACTTCAGAATTAGTCAACGTGGGGTATGGAACACTCCCTAATTGCAGAGGAAAAGGTGAGAGTTACATTGGCAAATCTTGAATGATTTTCTGTAATATCAAAATATATGAAAAATGGCAAGATGCTAACAAATTTATCACGAGTAACAGCCTCAGGTTCCTTGGACATACCCATGGTGGCCATTTCCCAAAGAAGAATCCCATACGACCACCTTTGTGCAAAAGAAATAAATAAATGAAAATGTATTAATGAAAATGAACTAGCTCGAACAACACGAAACTTATATAAATGCAATAAATCATCTTAGCTCAAGAAATGGTGTTTGTTGCAGGCTCGAAACTGATAGGTATGAATTCTTCTTACAAAAAATAACAAGTATTTTCATTTTTCACTAACGTGGCGGAACAAAAATTCTTGCAAACATCTAGTTAGAAAGCTAGTTTTTATTTTCTTAGTCAATCTATCAGTTTTTTCCTTTATTGCGCAGATTCGTTTTAAACGCGTTGACAAATACCTATTTCAAAATGGCACAAATTTTATATGAATAAAAAATTATCTTTTAGTCTCGTGAAACTATTCACTCACACGTCGCTTTTGATTGTAAAAATACTGTAAGAAATAGATTCCGGGGCCATCCACTTTACTGGAAGGTTCTTCGTTTTCTTCAGACTGTACACGTCTTGATAGGTCTGGCGCATTAATCCAAAGTCTGACAACTTCACTTGGTTGTTCCGGCCTACCAGAATATTGCGAGCTGCAAGGTCACGGTGAACGAAATCTTTCTCAGCGAGGTGGTTCTAGGAAAAAGTGTCAAAATAGCAGACTGATGGAGAAATGTTGCACCTACCAATTTTGATGAAAACATCGATCCAGCCAGATATGGTATTTCATTCTTTTCCGAAATAACTTTTGGCGAACTTAAGCGCATGCAGTTTTTCATCTCCCTTTTCTCGGTTTTTTTCTCGTATTTTAACAGTTCTGGGCGAATTTCTTTCGCTCTCTGTTTATAGGCTTTGAATGCAAAAATACGCTGCTAAGGGCTTTTAACGTCATTCATGTGGCAATTAACTTCTTGGCTCATGAAATGTCCTCGATAATACATTACCATTCCACGTGCTATTTGCCAAGCAAACGAAAAGAGTTTGTCTGTCGTAAAACTGTTGCTGTCGGCCTCTTCATCATCGTTATAATCAAGATTCTCTGTCGAGGGGACGGCAGCGCTGCAGTTTGTTTGGGGGTGCGGCGGTATCTTTTTCAATTCTACGTTTTCCTGGTGATAAGAAATCACGGCGTCGAGCTGCTTAAAGAGGTATATCATCAAATAAATTTAGTTTTAACAATCGATTACTTAACTGGAAACTTGACACTGCACCGATAAAATGTATAAAGCATTTTTGACAATTTTTAAGAGTCCTTCTGAATTCAATTTACCCTGTTCAGCTCTTTAGGGTACATAACGTTTTCTAGAGAATACAGCAGCTAATTTCTATTTCTTTCTTATTTTGACTTTTCCTGTTTAATTATCCCTCTGTAAAATCCTAGTAACCAATGCTGGTATTCAAAGTGCATGCCAAGATACGAAATGTGGAGAATGAAATACCTCTGGCAGGGATCTTACCTTTTCAGAATCGCAGGTCTCTTTCGAGGCAATAGAGATGTCTTTGTCTTCGTAGTCTTCCTCTTTTCCACAACTAACTTGATTTTTGCTCACCTATACAATAAATGGTCAGCTTGGTAAATTGGCCTTTTCATGTTCTATACTGGTGCAGCTTAGCTCTTGTAAAACTCCTAATTCATATCAGAATTTCTCCATGGCAAAGCCTGAAGAACCTCTTACTTATCCGCGTTAAACAGACCAGTTCAATTTTAGAGATAAATAAAATTAATTACCTTATCAGTCAGTTAATTAGTACAATGCGCTAAATTGCATTATGGTAAAGGTACTTTTATAACGTGAGTTTTCGACTTCTTTTCAAAAGAGTAGAAGCCCAACCCGGAAAAAAGTCGAGAACCAACAACAACCCCAACCCTCATGTGGCATCAACGTCGGGATTGGGCGCTGGGCCACAACACGGAAGGAAAAAAGATCCCCTATCACTACCCTTAGCATGATTCAATAATTGTACTTAGTTTCAGTTTAAGGGAAATAAACAACAAAAACATTTTATCGCAGTTCAATTTAGCTATGAAAGTGACGTAAAATCTCTTACCAATAGGCGATTTCTGCGTAACCATTGCAAGAGGTCGCCATACGGAACGTATTCTATCACCAGAAACTTGGTGTCCTGCAGAGTGCAACATCCAACTAAAGATACGATGTTCGGGTGGGAACCCAACAGCTTCATTTGTGATATCTCTTGCAAAAATGCTTGTTTCTGATCTTCGCGAGGATTATCTGCGAAGAAATATCTTTTTGAGACTCGAGAGTAGTGCAGGATATAACTAACTTTTTAGTTACCCACGCATTTAAACGAGTGTATTCGACAGCTCCGGAAAGCAACAACGTAAGGTGAGCATGATTTACTGGTTATTTTTCACTATGGCCTCTTGTTTCAATCACTCCCAACAAAAATAAAGCTGAACGACCTTTCTTATTTCTTGTTGAGTGCACAGCGCTTCTCGCTTGATTTAAACCATCTGCAATTTCAATTCTTTAAAATAAATCTAGCATCACATAAAGAGGAAACGGCTAGTATAGTCATGGTTTTTGCTTTAAATATATTAACTTCAAGTACAGTTTTATTGTTTAACAAACCTGGTAAAACCTTTACAGCGACCTCCCGTAATTCTTGGTTTGGCATGGGTCTCTCGCTATTCTGAAACACTTCTATCCCAGCTCTTTTTTTGAGAGTTCCTTTGTAAACAACACCAAAAGCTCCTCGTCCTAACTCTTCTTTGTATTCTACCTGTTCAGGAAGAATCTCCCACTGGTCTAGCACAACAACTTTGCGAAAATAAAGAGCAGGCCTGTCAATTTGAGAAGATAAGGGTAAAAAAACCAGCTAATCACTGACAACATTGGTTAGTGAAAACTTTATAATGAGTTGATCTTTTAATTAATCTTTATTAATCTTGAACAATAATTATGCGCAAGTTAACGCTAATGAGATGCCAAAGCCAGAGGCTTAATGGCATAGGTCAGAGAGTTACAATCTGCTACTAAATAAAAGTCATGAAATAAAAAGAAATATACATATATATATATAAAAAATTATATATATAATATATATATAACAATAAACACAAGATTTACGGAGAAAAGGCAAACAATTACAACATATATAAATTCACTACTGCATATAAAGCAAGATAAACATAAATAATGGTAGTGAGCAGAAAGTAATAATAAATTTAAATTTGAGTTCAACTTAGTATAAAATTATAATGATTGAAAATGATCTCTCAGTTTACGTTTATAACTAGAAAGAGTAAGCGAATTACGAAGTGAGAGAGGAATGTCATTCCAAATTTGAGGACTCTGTACCCGAAGCGAGAGAGAATATTTGTGAGTATGAAGATGTCAGTTATCTTTTTGCCTAGTGAGATATTGATGACCGTCGGAGTTAAGAACAGAAAGAGGTGAAAGAGGAGACTGGGCAAGAGCTTCTGCATGTGAAGGAAAACAAAGCAAGAAACTTGGTACTTATAAATATTAAATATGTTGAGTATTTTGAATTTGTTAAAGAGTGAGTAAGTATGTGCACGTGGTAGAGAATAAGTAATGATTCTTAAAGCTTTCTTCTGGAGACGAAAGAGGGGTTGTAAATGAGAAGACTTTGTGGAAGCCCAAATAATAGAACAGTATTGAAGATACGGGAGTACTAAAGAATTGTATAATTTGCAAAGAGTGTTAGAAAGAAAAAACTATCGAGATTTGATAATAATCCCCGTGGATTTGGCAATTTGAAGGTTTAACAAAGTTTCCGGAAAATCACCCTCGTATTTGAACTTTGGAGGATTGGTTTGTTCAAAATCTCGCCCGGAAAATCCGACTCACTAAAGTTTGGGCGGCTCTGGACACAGGAAACGCGCACAACATGACTCGTATCCTTCTCTAAATGAATAAAGTTCGTGCCTGTCTTCACAACATGAAATAATGATAATCTTAATACTAATAATAATAATAAAACCTTTTGTACTTATAGCGTGCAAATTAACATTAAAATATGATCAAATGCGCGTTAATTTTAATTTTAATGTATTCCATTCGAGCTAGTCCACCTTTCCAGCCATCCCACCCCAGGGGAGGACATCCATCACACAGTTATCTCGTGTGTGGGAAATTAACGTCTCCTACCCCAACCTCCATCCGAGGATACTAGAATATGTAACCATTTCATGATGTTATAGAAAAGTAGCAAAATTCTTCTAAATTATTTTAAGACCTTGTGTGTTGGTCCGGCCGGAGCTTGAACCCTCGACGCACAACAATCCAGCGCACTATCCATTGGGCTAACTGGGCGGCGGTTAAAATGAAATCTAACTTTCATATTCATACGAACAAAATAGAATGATCTGAAATCTGTCTGATGATCAAATCTGCCTGATTAGCGCGTAAGCACGAAACTCAGAGTAACAGAAACCGTGCGTCGTCTTGCTTGATCGCTACCTACTATATATATGTATAAATAAGAAGTAATGTGGCACACGAGGACGGACAACTTCAAGCGAAGGAAGACATATACTCAATAAAAATCCAAAAATCCTTAATAAAAAACGTTTCAGTCCGAGACCTTCATCAGTTGTCTTCATCAGTTGGCAACTGTGTGATGGATGTCCTCCCCTGAGGGTGAGATGGCTGGGATTTAATGGGTGGCCTACTCGCATGGATCGCATATATTCCGTTCTAGTCCTACCCTACTGCAGTAATTGCAGTGAAAATGGATTAGAAAAAAAAAAACAAAAAAAAAACAAAACAACTGAAGAAGGTCCCGGACCGAAACGTTTTTTATTAAACTTTTGGATTTTTTTTTTTGAGTATATGTCTTCCTTCGCTCGAAGTTGTCCTTCGTCGTGTGCCACGTTACTTCCTGTATTATTTATCGAGGTTTGGACTGCGAATCCTTTTGGATCCTTCTGGCGAGGCGTCTCTGTTGGCTCGAAGCCTGTTATATATACAAATGAATAAAGGCTGATAGTTTCTAAAGAAACTGTTTGGGGCTGCGTCGGTGGGGGTAACGAAATAATTTGGATTTGGGGGTAACGAAATAATTTAGCCCTTCGTCGGAGCGAAGCCATTCGCTCTGACGAAGGACTAACGCTCGAAACGTCAGTTTTTTTAATCGTTACGGTGGCCAATTAACCATTTCAACTTTGTTGAAATATCCAAATTATTTGGTTACCCCCACCGACGCAGCTCCAAACAGTTTCTTTAGAAACTATCAGCCTAATAAAATAAATGTTTGAAAAGAAAATTTGCCCTGAGCGGGATTTGAACCCACGTCCCCCTGTTACATTTATTCTATTTAAGTATGATTATTTGGGGTGTACAGGGTCAGGGTTTCCCTCGTATACACAATTTGTTTAATTGAAATTAGCCTGTATCCGTAATTGGATCCTCCTTTGTCATCCACTAGTTGACTTCGGTCGTGTATCTTTAGTAGATCCTTGGTTGGGTTTCATATGGGGTTGTAGGCTTTCTTAACCCTGTCACCTTGAAAATTAAGTTTCCCGGGAGACCACGTCTCCGATCACGTAAATGACATCTTCGATTGCCGTGTTGCCAACATGGTTGTCCTGATAGTGGCAGCATGGTTCTCCAGATAGTGTAGTGGTTGTCCTGATAGTGTAGTGGTCATCACACATGACTAGTAACAGGGGGACGTGGGTTCAAATCCCGCTCAGGGCAAATTTTCTTTTCAAACATTTATTCTATTTATGTATCATTATTTGGAGTGTACAGGGTCAGAGTTTCCCTCGTATACAGATTACATATATATATATATATATATCTATAAGCGAAATAGGCAACGTAGGATCCATGACAGTGCTCGACAATGAAGGAGCGATTACAGTAGCAAATGGACTACTCAAGTGACGCACATATGGATTTTAATACAGCCTGTTTCGTAGACCAACAAAAGTTGATCCACTCGTCAGTTTAACTCCATACACTGTGTGTATGGAGTTAAACTGACGAGTGGATCAACTTTTGTTGGTCTACGAAACAGGCTGTATTAAAATCCATATGTGCGTCACTTGAGTAGTCCATTTGCTACTATATATATATATATATATAATCTGGGGTGACCATCTCGGTTCTCCCCAATCCTAGCATCAGCACTGCACCTGATGAGGCCCAGAAGGCCGAAACAGTACTGTCTGCAGCTAGATATAGCTCTTTGGCATACAAAGCTTTGCTTTTATGTCCTTGATGAGTCATTGCTGTTGCAATTGAGCATGCTCGCTAGTTTACTCTAGTTTGAGCACTCTGGCATGGCTTAGACGATACCACAAAGGTTGGGTCGTTTAGGGTGATGGTCTCGGTTCTCCCCCATCCTAGGTTCAGCATTGCACTGATCAGGCCCAATAAAAAGGCCGAAACAGTTCTGTCTGCAGTTAGTTAGTTATACATATATATATTTATATATATAACAAGTTGAAAGGCCTCGAGCCAACAGTGACGCCGCGCCAGAAGGATCCAAAAGAATTCACAGTCCAAACCTCGATAAATGGTAGGAGAAGCAATGTGGCACACGAGGACGGACAACTTCGAGCGAAGGAAGACACACACTCAATAAAAAGTCTAAAAAGTTTAACAAAAGACGTTTCGGCCCGAGACCTTCATCAGTTCTCGGACCGAAACGTTTTTTGAGATACAATGAATATATGAAGTTTATATATTTTGAACTGCGGTATTAGATACGTATGATGCACGATCCTCGCAGTAGATAGCGCTATTTCTGCAATAGCGAAAATCAGACCTGAAAAAAAGCAGGCCTGTACGGGACTCGAACCACTGACCTCTGCGATACTAGTGCAGCGCTCTGATTTTCGCTATTGCAGAAATAGCGCTATCTACTGCGAGGATCGTGCATCATACGTATCTAATACCGCAGTTCAAAATATATGAACTTCATATATTCATTGTATCTCAAAGTTGAAATGGTAAATTGGCCACCGTCACGATTATAAAAGCTGACGTTTCGAGCGTTAGCCCTTCGTCGTTAGCCCTTCGCTCGAAACGTCAGC